TCCTCGTCGGAAGCATGTCCGTGGTGGTCACTAATTTTGAGTGACGGTCGGGGCCGACCGGCGTGGCGAACAAAGCTTTTTCACATCTGATATTGGCATGTCAAATATGAAATCAAGCGCCGAGGTGGGAACACATAGCGCCGAGGTCCCAAGTGAAGCGCCGAGATTCACAGGTATAGCGCCGCGGACCTCGGCGCTAAAAAGCCCTGGGGAGAACCCTGATAATGTTAATAATTACCCAAACATTTCCATTGTCATCTATAGAAAATCAATGGGGAATTTCAAGCTTCTGACAAAATCTCGCATTGAATGTTTAGTAGTTCTAGTAGCAGCACCATAAAAGGTAATTATTTAGTAGTTATTGCCATTTTGGATATATTTGAAAAAAATATTTATTAGTTTAGGTTGAAACACAACAAAGATGATTACTCACAGAGCAATAAACTGGAGGGTAGTTTTGATTTCCAAGTTGATTACCACGAATGAAATCCAGTAGTTCCTGACAAATAGTGCGATAACTACGCTCCGAGAGCTCAAACTTATCTATTGGTATCTGATGTGTATTTTCACCTGTAGAATAAAATATATGACATTGAGATTAACATTTATTGTTGCATTCCCATTATTATATGCAGAACAGCTCAGATTGGTTATTGTGACAACTATGAATATACATATACAAATAGTTGGTATGGCAACAAATCCAGAAGCACTGGAGAGAGCCAACACTGTTTTTCAAGATATACTGTAAAATGACTAATTTTCACTGGGTTTAAATTTCACTGATTTACCATTTCAGGCATATTCAGTGGGTTTTAAATTCACGGTTTTATCATTTAGATAATGTGTTCTATGCTAAATTTTACATATTCACTGGGTTTTAATTTAGCGCATTTTCCAGTCAGTGAAATAAGCTAAATTAAAACCCAGTGAATAATTAACCCTTTTACAGTATACCAGTACCGTCAATGCACGATTTTGGGCTGCATCAATGAACACCAGGGAATAACTAGTCTTGCATATACCATGCAAATACAGGCTTTTTCAGCCAAGATCATGTGTGATATTTTTATAACATGCCTCTCAGATGACTAGACATGAACTTTATTCTCAAAATATATCACAGGTTATCAAAATCCAGTAGTAGTAACAGTCCGTACAAGTAGCACACTTCAATCGACTGCTTAAATCCCTGTATCCAATTTGTGTGACAGAAGGAATGTACGGAAGTGCACACTGGACCTAATATAGAACATAAGCTTTACTTACTATCACTTTTACAAATATATCTGAACCCTGTAGGTATAGGAGGTGGTTCAATAAACTTGTGCCATGATTTATGGATGCCCGCATTGAGACTGAACTCCACACATGCTATTTCACATGGCAAATAACGCATACCATTACATTGCTCCATGGGTAACTCTTTATTACACAGTGACTGTATGTCTATCATGTAAAATGTCTCTAAGCAAACTCCTGTCAAGATAAAAATATGCAAATATTAGTGGTAGGCTACTTGACAAATCACGTACTCAATGTAAAGACGCTTCCTATAAAGCAGTGCATGATGGTAAAGTGAAAATGCAGCTTGGATTCAAAACTGCTGTAAAACACTAGGCCAATTACAGTTGACGTAGCGTACAATGGACATGAAACAAAATGGCCAAATTGCTAAAGAGGAAGCTTAAAGTTATAGGATTACTGTACAGGATCTGCCAAGGTAATAGTGGAGAATTGATGATGATGATGATGACGATGAATAAAAAGGACCTTGGTGAGTTAAGATCAGTATAGATTTCCTTCATTTTCAGTTATTCTGTTTATAAAATGTAAACTTATTTCTCTTAAATTTCAAATTCCATAACTATAGTAAGATGTTTTGCAAGATCCCTATATCAATATTTGATTTTCTCTTGCATCAATGATGTGCGAGTGAATAAGCACATCCTGTTGCGTCACAGTGAATATGTGTCTGTCAGTGGCGCATAATACCCGCTTAGATTTTACACTGGTTTGGACTAGCGTACCTTCACCATCTGGCCACTTTCCACTAACATTCTTTCTCTCATCTCGTCTTCTCTTTTCATTTATTGCAACTGGATCGATTCTTTCCTGTAAAAGGAGATGTAAACTAAATCACATACTACATTTCGCAAGTTATACTGATCAGAAGCTGACATATTATGCCATTTATTGACCAGGGTTCCCGCCACGCTGGTTGGCAGTGGTCGGCCTGACCGGCACTCAAACTTAGCGACCACCATTGAGATGCCGCCGACCAGGACTATTGATTGTATTGTATTGACAGACAAATGAGCTGAGGGGAAAATAATCCTGCTGTGTACATCCTGTAAACCCATTTTCACCTTTGTGCCGGCAAGTGTAACGATTAGCCGCCATCAACGACGTGTGAACGTCTACTTTGGTCGGCCTTTTCCCCACGATGACGTGGTGTACTTTTGATGCGGTAAAAATAATGAAACAAATTGACACATGTAGTGTATAAAATAAGTTGGGAAACGGGCTGCAGTATCACAATTGTGACGACTCTTTCAAGAGAAGTACTCCATTTATTATTGCTTCGTTCCAGTATACATATTTCAGCATGTCTTTTTCAAAGTTTTGATTCACCACTATGATAAAACGGAACATATGGAGCAAAGAAAATCAGCCACCCACACCAAAGAAGTCCAGACTCAGCGATGACGAAACTATCAGTAATAGTTCAAGCCGACAAAGTAAACAAGCTTCGAAGCTTCGCAATGAGTGATTGAACCTCACCTCACACCACAAAATTTTAACCACTCCTGGACTTACTTACACAGCTTGGCTTGCCTGTAAAAGATGACCTGAACATCGCAAAAAATGTTACTTACTGCAGCGACGCGTCTATCCAAGAAATGATGTCATTTATATCAGCGCAACTCAAAGAAACTACATTATTACTGCTGAAGAGGTCTGACTATGTTTCTATTATGTTGGATGAAACTACCGATGCTAGTGTCAGTGAACAACTCGAATTGAATTGTTGATGATTTGACGAAACAGGCAATCTCTGTGTGCGTTTTCTGAAACCAGTGTTCTCCCCAGGCCATTTTAGCGCAGCCGCCCTATCAAATATTCCCCCGGCACTATTCATTCTTCCCCGGCGCTATTGACTCGGGCGTCGCGATGTGATTACCACCATCATATTAGACAGACAGCCCTGTTTTACTTCCTGCACATGTTGAGGCTTTCATTACTGTCAAACAAAAGTCGATACTATCCGAGAGACGGTGTAATTAACACCTGTCGGCGGTGTTTCGTTGGCACTCCCGGGCAGAACTCCCGTAGCCACATGGTTGGCTGTTCACGTATACCTCTGTTCAAAGGCAAAACCCTTCACACGATTTAAAAGAAAGGGTACATTATGAATATGAATAATCTGTAAATTCTTTTACAATGAATTTAAAAAAAATAAAAAGGCTTGATGTTCGTCAGCGATCAGATTGTACCTTGCTTTCGCATCGTAAACACGCTCTCGAGATCACCAAATATGCAGAAAGGAAATCAGTGTTCGCATCCCGACCTCCAATCATGGTTCACGTCACCGTCTACTCCGACGAAACGCAAACAAGATGGGCAATCTAGTTCCAAATTACGAGAAAGTAAAAAAAAAGAAAGACTGGTTTTCACAAGTCATGGTTAACATCGTATGAATGGTTACCACAAACCCCAGACGAAAAACGTATGGAAAAAAATATTTTAATCAAGTCTCTCGAAGGAATGACTGCATAAACAAACAAGCAAATGGGGTTAAAGATCGGGCCTTGTGTTTTCAATCGATTATTTCGGTGACCATTTTGTGTTTCGCTATTTATTTTTCATTTTTCGATCACAAAAATAATTTATAAAGTTGATTTTTGGCAAAACCAGGTATGTTGTGTTTTATGTGTGGAAAACATGGTGAAAGAGCAAGAATCTACGTCTGGATTAAGACGCCATGCACAGCGTGAAGTCGGACATGCATAAACTCGCCAAACTAAAACGTAAAAGAAAAGAAGGTGAAATTATCTGACGTAAATGGCAGAATTATAGCAGCAATGGATCATCATATAAATATGGAGAGACAATCGTTTATTTCTGCCCTTAGATGTATATATTGGATCTGCAAAAACGAAGTAGCACATACAACGAAGTTCAGGACATTGCTTGATTTGGTGAACAGTGGTTCATGCTTAAAACACTTGAACAAGGTAAAGTGTTTTTTAATCATTTTTTTTTTAATTATTCTGCTTTCCTTATTTCTAATTTCATTTAATTAATTTCACTGATTATTACAGGGTGGTAATGCCAACTACATGTCAGAAAGGATAATTCAAGAGATGGTGGATGTCTTGGCTCAGGTCATTGACAAACTTTTTTTAGGATTTTGAGATGCACAATATTAAAATACATTTTTTCTTTTAATGTTTTCAGATTGTGAAAGCACTGGGCAGAGTAAAAACAACCCTTAGAAACAGAATGTGTGAAAAGACCTTGAGTAATCTTCTGTTCATTACATTAGAAGGACCCCCAGTAGAAACCTTTCCCGATGATGAGGCAGCAAATATATGGGCTAGCATCAGAAATAGACGATTAAATATGTCATCATAATCTATGTTGGATAGAAAACAATTTTTAGAATCATCTAATACACTTGCTGTAAATACTGTAAATAAATGTTCAGTTATGTGAATAATAAAATTATACCATCTGAAAAAATTGTATTTATTTTGATGTGTGTTGTGCATATGCAACTTGAAATAGAATATGCTAATGTTATGCAAATGAGTATGCAAATAAGTCCAGTACCTATCATTTTTTTCTGGGGAGAACACTGAAACTGATAAAGCCGTTGAAACCAAATGCCAGTGAAGCATCAACGATTTCATTAAATGCCGTAACCATTACCAACCATGTGACATCATATATAGCCGACAAAGAGCTCAACTACGGTCGACTTGTTGGAATTGGAACTGATGGAGCCGCTGTTATGACTGGGATACACAACTGTGTCGTCAAGCGATTGCGGGAACATGCAACTTCAGCTATCGGTCTTCACTGCTGATTTTTATAACATCACCGTGCGTACTGCAGGTCTTCATGCCATCCAAGCCACGCTCAATGAGAAGACACTGAAATGGCGTAATTGCGTCTAAAGGAAACTCTAGTTAGCGTACTCATCAGCCTTGAACGAGAGGGAGAGGAACACGGCGAACATTGGTTTATTTCATCTAATTTCCTCATATCGATTCATTGTTACGATGTTGTTATGTGACCTTTTGCTGAAGTTATCTTCCTTGTGCAAAGTTTTCCAAGGACGAGAATTTGAGTACAGCTCAATTCAACCAATGGTACAGTCGACTATTAAATCCATTCTGCAAATAAAAACAGGGCAATGACCTGTTGCTCAACAGCTATTGTACAAAAGATTAGTGCTGTATATGCCACAACTTTTCGTTTAAATTTGTACATTTAACCCTTTTTCGTTAAAGTCGGTGAAATACCGCCGTCAATATGGGTATGCTAGAATTTACCGCTCCAGCTAGCAAACTGGTTAAGTCGTTGAAAAACGGCCTGCTATTTAGGTTGCTCAGACGGTCAAGCGTTTATAATACGTTGTACAGAACCTGATATTTTACACTTGCGAAATTATGGAGGGAGAGAATTTGTTTTCGATTCCGTGAAGTCAAATAAATTAACCAAGTAATAAAGAATGTAATTCTATACACTTGTCTGCTCATTTCACTATTTTACCATCACAACACGACGTTTGCGACGACGTAAAAAAAAACGGCTTGACCACATTGCAAACTGCAGCATTACAATCGTATTTGAACGACACGATTCATGATTATAACGGTAGTAACGTATTTTGACCAGCTTAGCAAATAGTCCCGGCCTTAGAATGAATAGCATGACGACTGAGCTTGGAATGTCGGCAATCACAACGTAAAATGAATGGGACAGCTGGTGGGAAATATTCAAGTCTACGTGATTACACTGTCTGAGCTAGCATATGCAATTCTACAGGTATGCAAATTGTAACCAATCAGTGTTCGAAAAAATAACATTTATTTACATAACAATAAATATTCAAATTGTGGGGAGATGCAGTCTTGTGGACATCTGGTCGTTCAGTATAAATATGGCCGAAGAAAGTGAGATAAAGCCCAGACTCGCAGTATGCCTACTTTCCGACACGTACGTTAATATGCCGTCCTATACAGATAGGAAGTGTTTTATGAAGGCAAGAAGGAAACTGAAGAAAACGCATCAATCGTGCAGTGGCACAAGGAGTCATAAGTTTGACATTGACACGACAGATTTTTCACCAGCAAAGCGTGGGAAAAGAAAGAAATCCAAAGCAAAGGGAAACATTTGACGTCTGTGAGTTACCAGCCGAACATGCCACGGAAACCAGTGATAATAGTCCACTCAAAAAAAGGCGTAAAAAGAAAAAGAACAAATGCAAGTCGGAGACTGTCTCCTCTGTCAATGAACATGTGATTACAGAAGAAAGCTTGAAGGACTGCGGGGGCAAACTAAGGGGCAAACCAGGAGGCAAATGTAAATGGAAGACGAACCATAAAGTGGTTGAATTGCCAGTTGCCGACAAAGCAGATGCCGAAGAAACGGGAGTTGGTAACGCTGAAATACAACGTGCCGTCGAAGATGTGATAACATTTTTGCAAGACAATGTTTGCGATTTGGAACCGTCGACATCCGCCACAACTGCCAACACAGAAAAACAGGGGCCTGAACATATCGACCCAGCGAGTACGCAACAAAACGTCAATGTCACCAAAGAAATGGTTCAAGAAAATGTATGCGATACAGAACAATCAACACTTGCGAGTTTCCCCGAAAAACAAACTATTAAAAAACGTGTTGTGTATGCACACGCATCGCCAATGGACACGCGTGATGATGAACTTGTATTGGACGAAAAAACGGGTGAGCTACGACACAAAATACAAGATGACTTCATTGTTGCAAATGACGACGATACAGATTCAGAAATCTATGAAGATCGTGCTGAGAATGACAATTTTTTAGAGCAACGTTACCCACCTGTACTCGATAGCAAC